CCCCCGCCAGGGAAGGGGGGGGGGGGGGCGGAGGCGGCGGCCATTGATCGGAGGCGCACGCGGTGACGACGCTTGTGTCGTGGGTTCGTGGAACTGGAGGCGGACTGTGTCGGGGTACTGCGGTACCCGGTGGCGGGGTGCGAGCGGTGCGCGCGGCCAGTTTGGGTAGCTGGAAGGGGTCGTAGGAGCACGGAGCTCCGAAACAGTGTTAACGGGGCCGTGGCGTTCTGTTTGTTTGCACTTGCAATGCTCCAAATATAATCGAACTGCAACGGTCCCCTTATTCAGCGCAGTTTGGTGTGTGCACACGGCAGGACAGATTTGGATTACGATCTGCACAGCGTTTTTCGGTGGCCTCAGCGCAAAAGACCCCGCTTGAGTGCTAACGTACTCCACAGGCCTGCAGAGCGCCACCTGTATGGGCTTTACTACCTAACGCCTGGCCTGGCCCTCCGAAAACGAACATTTTCGGGTTGCGTTCACACCGTTTCGAGTGCGCTCAGCGCCGCCGCATTGCACCTTATGAGCCGCTGCGGTACTCCATCTCGGGCTGTTTATTTATCAGCTCGTCATGGCGACTGTCTGCACGCTCGGGGCAGTGTGCAGTTGCACGTGCAGCAGTGCAGACGGCCCGGTCAGACACCCCGCGGCCTGGGAGTCGTCACGTTTGTTTTCTCGCCGGCGCGGAGATGTACGGGGTTGAGGTGCACCGCCGCTGTCGTGCCCCAGCCGGGATGGAGTCTCGTTCGGTAGCCTGTATTGGGAGCAATGAACGGAACGCAGTGATCGCCGATGCTGTTCCGCGATATAAACAGCCTAGGGCAGGGCTTATGACGCCGCTGAAGCAGGGCCGATTACTTGCCTGTGTACACCGTGCATAACGTTCTCACATGCGCGATGAGAAACTTCGCTTGACGAGTTCTCAGCGAGCACTTAGTGGACATTCTGTGTCGCGTTGCTGCCTCGTTCTCGCGGCATTATCATGCCACCCGTAGTCCCACCCCCGTTAGGTTTGCTCCAAATGCGTCCCAACTGGCGGAGCATGGGCGCACCCTGCCGCTGGCCGAGTGACTTGCATCAAACCCGTTCGCCGGCTAGCTTCTCGGGATGCGTGCGCCCAGCGTGAAATCACCGCGCAGGCGTCGCCGTGATCCCCGTTACGTGCGTGCGGCCGCCGGCAGGACCATTCCGCGCGCAGCTGTTACACCGACGCGCTAATGTGCACGGACCGTTCCGCACGCGGCGGCCGGCCAGGGTGGCGGGCCATTCCCCGCCCCGCTTCGGGTGTCGGCGTGCGTGCCAAACGGTGTGGCCCTAACGGGCCCGCCCGCCCGCCCGGCTGACCGGCGATGCGGGGGGAGGGGCACGCAGCAGGCCGGCCGTCTTCTGCTGCTGCCGGCTGGCGTCTGTTGCCGGGCGGGGATTGTCAGACGAGACAAATGAGTTGTGGAGACGACCGCTCAGGCTGGAAGTGATGGCGGCGTTGGACGTGTCGTCGCGGGGAGGCCTTTGAACAAGTTAGGGCTGAATCATGCATGGATAGGCGTTGAGCGTCGGCTGAATGTCGAAATGTGTGCGATTTTCGCGTATCGGGAACTGTTCTATGAGGAGCTCGCCACTGAATGGGGTAGTTTGGCTGTCAAGTTTAGGCACGGACCGGTGCATTAAAGGTGTTCACTAGACATTGTTCCAACGACAACGGGTTTTATAGGCTGAGAGTTGGCCTGTTCGCGGGCAGAACTTTGCCAGTTGTGGGCGCAAATGGACTCCGTGGCTCTGTTCCCTCCAGACAGCACCCCAGACCCAGTGTTGATTTCTGAAATATTGTGGATGCAGCTCACCCCCCCACAAAAAAGGGCTTTGCTCATGGGCATGCTATCGTGTAATCGAGCGCACATGACCGGCAGTGCAAGCACACGCCTCGGCAGACTTCGAACTTCACGCTGACGGGAGACCCCTTCCTCTCGCTCGCTGCTTCATCGACGAGAACGCGCCGCCCTGGGGCCCGCGTGATATTCGCCGAGTGTCCGCGGCTCGGTGTGTCGCGCCGTTGCTTCCCTCCCTTCCCCTTCATCAGGGGTCACGCGGTCTGGCACAGTCGCCGCCGCGGCGCGTGGAATGCAGCGGAACGGCGTCCGTCGTCGCCGAGTCCCGAGCCGGCGGCGCGGCGCCGCCCGCCCGCCCGCCTGCCCACCGCTCGTCGCAGCATTGTTCCCGGACGCTTCGGTGGCCGTTTTGGCGGCCTTGTGCCCGCCTCGCGGGGTCGATGACCTCGGCTCGGGGACGGAAATATTACGTCCTTTACGGCCCGGGGGTGGGGAAGGGGGGGGGGGGGCGTCAGGCCTGGCTACCGCCCGACCGTACACTCGCCCTCTGTCGGGCCTCTGACGCAATGGACCGCTGGCCGGCCAACCGGCCCGTCCCATCCGAGCTGCTGGGGGCATTGATTGTGCGCTTCTTTGTCCAGAGAAACAAAGCGACGGGTGCCGGCCAGTCCTGCGCGAGGACAGCAGGGTGGGGAGAGCGTGGCGCGTCCTCTTCCGCGGGACCAGCGTTTGGTGGGTGGTCCTAATCCGTAGATCTGGTCAGCGGTTCTGCCGTGTAATCGTGGTCCTCGGTCATGTTCTTGGCCATGCTTCTGGTCATGGTCCATGCTTCTGTCAGCCTGGTTCTGGTCCAAAATTTTGGACCGTGGCCCCCTCTCCTGGCTGGTCTCGCTCAGAAGAGCGGCTGGGACCACTGTTTCGCTCCCCACGGTCGTTGTCTCCGATCGGGTCCGTGATCCCCGCTCTTTCTAACTGCTGTCCCATCGACGGTGCGGACCGCTGGTCCGCGAGCGGTTCGCGCGAGGTCCGGATCGGCCGGCGGGACCGCTGGCCGCCAGCGGCCGGCGCCTTTGGAGGGGCGGCGGCGGCCGGGTGTCTAGCGGTGCTTGGACCGCCGTTACGGCCGTGCGGCGGCCCACGTGGAGCCGCCGCGCCCGCCCCACACGGTCGAGTTATGACTCCCCGGGCGCCGCGTGCCGAAATTGGACGCCGACCCGCGGACGGCAGCGCAGCCGGCGCCTCGCGCGGCGCCGGCTGTTACGCCGCCGAGCACGCGATACACGCCGGGTCAGGATATTGGGCCGCGGAGTTACGCCGCCTTGTGACCAGCTGGTTTGGGGGTGCTGAGTTTTGCGGCCGGTCGATCGTTCTCGGCCGCCCTCGTGGTGGCGGGACGTTACCAGTGACCCACGGAGGTAGCGGTCGCGGCGGTGCTGTCTGTCTAGCTGTCGTGGCATCGATTTCCCAATGGTTTGCTTTTTGTCCGCGCTGGATGCTCACTGAAAACACGGTCTTTTAAACGTTGCGCGTGCAGTTGCCCAGCAGTGACACCAAACACGTATAGGCTGCTTGCTTGGATGGTAAGGTGGATTATGACGCGGAAATTGCATGTTGCCATCGGTTCATGTTCACGACGTTCATGCATAGCGTACGTCCGCGATGCACTCCGCACCGTCTCGTTTCTTGACTATTGCTTCGCACTCGTACGCAGAATGCCTAAAATTCAGTTACTTCCATAGAGCAAGACAAATAAATAGATCGGGCACACTGGACTTCACACACGGGACCAGGATGGATTCCGCGCATGCCCTCCGCGCCTGTCCAGCTTACAAACAAACGGCAGCGCGCGTGCGGTCCGCTCCGGCCGAGCCATCGCGCAGCCGCATGCGCCCGCCATCTGTTGGCGGCGGCGCGCACTAGGCGTCACTGGGTCACCGGTGCCGCGTGACGTCAGCGCCGCTGACCGGGTGCCGGCGGCGCCACCTGGCGCGCCGGCGCGGAACGGCCGGCTCAGCGTCGCGCTATTGTGCGCCGCACCGTTACTTGGCCGCCGGCGGCCACGCCCGCGCTGCTGCGGCGTCACGGCGGCCCTGGGCGGGCCGGCAGACGGCAGGCGGGCGGCAGCAGTCGCCGGGCCTCTCGTCCGGGTCTTGCGCTTGGAAGCCTCGCTGCTGCCGGAGAGCGCCATCCGACCATCGTTCCTCCGTTACGCTTGGTCTCCTGAATTCCCGTAACGTCACGCGTGTCTCCGGGGCAAGCCGCGTGCATCAGCCATGACCGGGCTTGGTGTCCTCATGGTGAGAATCCTGCCCGAGCGCTCGCACCAGCTCCGAAAGGCAAGGAGCGCCCCTCAGACCAAATTCTGTGCGTGGTGGGTCCCGGTGACAACGAAGGACTCCCAGTTCCAACAACACCCACTCTCATTCATCCTATATCCATGATGTGGTAATTGCTGACCGAATGGAATCCCAAACCACACTGAGCCAGTGCGGGGAGCAGCGCGGGTGGGCTAATGGCTCTCCCTGACTGGCGAGGAGTGGTAATGCTGCGAGGAGACCAACGCGGCGACGTGTCGGTGCTCTGTTGCTCGTGGGGCTACAGAATGGAAGCGGTGACATCTGGTGCTGTTCAGGAGTCATGCGACTGCGATCACGGACTGCGGTGCGGGACTCCTCTTTTTCGGAAGCGGATTCCGGCATGCGTCTTCAGCAAACCTTGGCGCACATGTAGCCCAGGGTTGTTTCGGTGAACCCGCACTGTGAACGGCGAATCGTTTAGTGATGAGACGAACGGCGAACATTGGGCATGACGTCAAGCGTAATGTAATAGCGATTCGAAGGCATTAGCTTGCGATTTGAGGCCACGGCTGACCCGTAGTGTTATCAATGTTTGAGAACTTTATCCAAAAACAACACATGCGCACCAACATCAACGAGCAAATACAACATACTACACATTTTTGTGCGGGCACTGGTCCATCCTGAGAATCAGTATGAACGCACCACTCACTGCGAGCTGCCAGCTACACTGGAAGATCTGCTGTCCATCCAAATGTCGGCTGTCACTTGTGCTCAAACGTCAGTTGTGAACCACGACGAGCTGTCGCTCCGATCACGGTCTGCACGCGTGCTCTGTCCGGCCCGGCGCGCCTGACCGCCGCCCCGTGCTCCCCAGCCGTCAAGTTCGGCCGCATGTCGAAGAAGCAGCGGGAGAAGGTGGAGGATGAGGTGCGCTTCTACCGGGGCAAGATGGACCTGGCGGACGGCAGCCTGCCCGACTCGTCCGCCTACCCCGACACGGCACAAATGCCCACCTCGTCTCAGGACCCGCTGGGAGCGTACGGCACCTACCAGCCGTGAGTGATGCCGCGCGGGCGCCGTTACCCTACAGCTGTCACCAGCTGTTACCGGCTGTGAGCGTAATGGGGTGTGGCTCAGGCTGTCGGTGTTGGAGCGAGGCTCTGGTACCGGGGTGGGTGCTGCAGGTGCCGAGCGGGGAACGGGGTGTGACTCGGGCTGCATCCGTGATTACACATGTGGTTTGCAGTTCAGACACCAGCTAGGAATGTATGGCTTTGGCATAGCTCATGTAGAGCAGGTAATACCCGGCTACTACTGAACTGCCAGTCGTCAGTGGTGAATGCCTGCCGTTGTAGCTTAGTGTAGCTCTGAAACTGAATCAGGACGACACCGAAAAGGTCAGCCCAAGGCGAACCGCAACCTGTTGCCGAGCGTCACTCCCAACGGCAGCGGTCCAGCGCCGCAGCGTTCGGCTCTGGCCGGCTGACTGACGGTGGCGCCCCCACCTGTGGCGGCAGGTACCCGAACCCGAGCGACCTGCCCGGCCAGTACCCAGCCGGAGGCTGCAGCTCCTACCCGTCGCCCTTCCCCTTCAGCATGGACGACGGCGTCGACTCGACCACGCCCTCCTGGCAGCCGCCCATGGAGGTCATGTCGAGCACACAGCAGCTGCCAGACTCGGTGCTGATGGCGACCTTCGGTAACTCAGGTACGGCCGTCAGGGGCGCTGCGGTCGGCCCGCCGGGCGCTGTCCGTGCGGTGCGTCCAGCCGGGTGGCATTGACGTTGAACTCAACGAACGTAGTAGACCAACTGGGGTGACAGAGGCGAGGGACTCCACTGAGCTGTCGCTTTTGCTGTTTTGTGACATTAGGTTGGCTGACAATGAGGTCGATACCAATGAGACGTCCATTAGGAAGCGCCGTAGACGAAACGATTTGCTCGGTTTCCATGTGTTGCAAAAATATCATCGCGTGTGGGAATTACTGCTGAACCCAATCGTCCCACACTCAGCTGCTGTGATCACATTCTCGTACGATGTGGCTCGTTCGGTTTCATAACCGTTTTCAGCATCTTCCACCTGGCGACTGATTCAGATCGCCCCCAGCCGCCAGCCTGACAGGATCCATTCCACTGTTTGGCAGCGTGCGGCAGAGGGAGACCTTGGCGACTGTTCGTGCACGCTCCTTGGGCGGTGGCGGTTTTGTCGTGTGGTGTGAGTGGTCGGCCTCTTCCCTGAGCTGTCTCTCCCTCGCTGTCGGGCTCCGGGCCTCTGCACGTGCCATGACCGGGCGCGGCCCGTCGACAGATCGGAGCTCGCCCCAGCAGCCGCAGCAAACACAGCAGCCGCAGCAACCACAGCAGCAGCCGCAGCCGCCGCCCCAGCAGCAGCAGCAGCAGCATCCTCCTCACCTCCAGCACCAGCATCCGGCGGCTGCGGCGCAACAACAGCATCAGCAGCAGCAACAACAGCAACAGCAACAGCAGCAACAGCATCAACAGCAGCAGCAACAACAGCAACAGCAGCAACAGCAGCAGCAACATCAACAGCAGCAGCAGCAGCAGGAGCGGCAACGACTGGAAACAGCGGCCATACCGCGCGTGCACAGAATCACGGACGCTATGATTAAGGAGGAGCTGGAGGGTGCTGGCAGCGGCTGCCTCAGTCCCCTCGCTGGCTCCGGCCCGGTCGACAGTTCAGAAGACCGGCTACGGAGCGCGCGCTCTACCCCCACCCCCCGGCTACCCCCCTCGGACCGGCCGCCCGGTACGTGCTCCCGTCCGCTCGGTTCTCACCGGGTCGGAGCAGTTTGCGGCACAACTGGCCGTTTCAGGGCATGCGTGTGTGTTTTTAGCTGTTTTTCGTAGGCATTTCCTTTCTTATTGCGCGTCTTTCCTTTCCGTCTTTCAGAGTTGTGTTGGGCAAAATGCAGTTCTTGTTGTACTGTCCAGTGTTGCACTACAGGCGTAAAGTCAACCGCACTCCATGCTCAGCGCTTGCTGGCAGTGGCTCGGATGACACCTTCTTATCTCTATCTGCTTTTGCCTGCGAACTGTATTCTTGAACCCGCCCTCGCATCCAGCATCGCATGCTGGCATCCTACCCTTGCGTGCCGGGCTTGGTGTAACTGCGAGCAGCAGCTGCCGTCTGTCGGGCTCCTGTATCTACACCCGCCACGCAGCTCACCGGCCTCCGTGGGGCCGATATGACGTCACGTGTCCGTGACGGGGCGCCAATCCGCGGGCGCTCGGGCCGGTCCGCTCCCGTGTGCGCGCGGCTCATGCTGGCCCGTCCCCAGATCCGTCCCGAATCTCTGACCTGCTCGCCGAGACCATCACAGACGCGCACAGGAGCACGCTGCTCTGCTCCAGCGAGTTCATCCAGGAGATGCTGAGGATGCCGCCGGATCTCAGCAAAATCTCCTACTATAGCAAATTGGTGAGTTGTCGGGCGGGGGAGGGTTCGCGTGACAGTGTTCGGTGTGCACCTGTAGCCACAAAGCAGCTATTCTAGCCGGCATGTATGGTTTATGTGCAATCCATGCAATAGCTTAATGAGCTTTGAAGAGGGCCGTAAGTAGTACAGGTATTCACGGGTGCTGCGGTCGAGGTTGCATTAGGACCGTATTAAAGCTGTAACTTTGCTAAATGTCTAAGGGTTAAGAGCGACCACGTGGCAAAAAGAATGATGCCATATGAATGGGGAGAAACGCCCCAGTTTTCTGCGTATTGTGCTTCATCACATTTTTTTTCTGGTGAGTCCAATCCCTGCAATATCGGCGTTGTGCCTAGCACGCTGAAAGAAATCATAAAATGGTGTGACTAAATGGACTTGTGACAACACCCCGGTCTTATATACCATACGCATTGTCACCACCTGGCCCACCATTCACTCGGCACTCCTCTGCCGCTGTGACAGAGTCACGAGGACCTGATGATGGACGCAGCCCAGAAGGTCACCTCGGTCATCCACAACATCATCGACTTCGCCAAGCTGCTGCCCGGCTTCATGGAGTACTCGGAGACGGACAAGATCAACCTGCTGAAGGCCGGTCAGTGCTCGCACGCGGCTCCGCGGCGGGCTCGCTTGTGGCTGGACGATCGCCGCAGCAGGCGCAGCAACACGGCCAGTCGGGGCCGTCCTCTTGTTTGTTGGTGCAGCTTGTTGTGCGTTATGACTCTGTGGCTTCTGACGGCTTCTCAACCAGTGATAACTGTCGAGTACGTGCAACGTTCGGAGCAATAGGCGGCTCTGGTTTTGTATGCTCCGCATGACGGAAAGTTACATCCTCAGATGTCGCGCTGCGTTGACAGGCGGTTGGGGACAGAGGTGAAAACGAGCGCGCATGCGATGACGGAAGAAGTGATGCTCAGCAGCCAGCTGAAAATTATGTCGTTTTGCCTTTCGCGCTTGGCTCTGAACCCAGCGCGAGAGATGTAACAGTCCTGGCGGTCAGGCCGCAGTACCAGGTGCTGGTGTGCCACGGGGAACGTTGGCAGTAGCAGTGCACCAGAGCTCTCTTCACACAGCCTTTCCATCGCCCGCGCTGCCGGTCGGCCTGATTCGGCGGGAGCGTGCTCATCTGACTGTGGCTGGTGTATGCAGACGTGTTCGAGCTGACAGTGCTGAAGATGCCGGCCGGCCTGATTCGGCGGGAGCGTGGTTAGCTGACTGTGGTTGGTGTATGCAGACGTGTTCGAGCTGACAGTGCTGAAGATGCCGGCCGGCCTGATTCGGCAGGAGCGTGATCAGCTGACTGTGGTCGGTGTTTGCAGGCGCGTTCGAGCTGACAGTGCTGCAGATGCCGGTCGGACCTGATTCGGCAGAAGCGTGAATAGCTGACTGTAGTCGGTGTTTGCAGGCGCGTTCGAGCTGACAGTGCTGCAGATGCCAGCCGGCCTGATTCGGCAGAAGCGTGAATAGCTGACTGTGGTCGGTGTTTGCAGGCGCGTTCGGACTGACAGTGCTGCGGATGCCGGCCGGCCTGATTCGGCAGGAGCGTGCTCAGCTGACTGTGGTCGGTGTTTACAGGCGCGTTCGAGCTGACAGTGCTGCGGATGACGCGCCACTACGACTTGCGTCAGTCGGTAGTGCTCTACGGCGACACGGTGATGCGCATGGACTTCTTCCTCACCGGCGACACCATGGAGATGAAGCTGGTGACGGAGGTGTTCGAGCTGGTGCGCAGTCTCTGCGAGCTGAAGCTGACCGAGGCTGAGCTGGCGCTGTTCTCAGCGTTCTGCCTGCTCTCGCCCGGTGGGTGCCGCTGGGAGCGCGACGGGCACGGGGCCAGGGGGACGCCGCACGACGAAGTCGGCGGGTCACGCACCGGGGCCTGCGACAAGGGGTGCACGTGCCGTTGTAGGTTTTATTGCTGGACGTAATAGGACTTTGAGGCGCCACAGAAATTCCCGTTTTGGACATCGTAGTTTGAGGAAATCCCGCAGATGAAGTGCAGGGGCCATCGCGCGTGTGACTGTTGCTGGCTGTATGGCTTTGACGTATTCATGTCAGACGCTGGCGTATATTTGGACGAAGTCCTCTGCGACACCGACAGTATAGAACGCTGCCGTCCAATGCTCGTCCGTCGCCGTCGGTCAGCAAACATCGAACAGCAACACAACATGACGGGTGTGATACCAGAGACTGTCATTAACTAATTCTGCCATTGTCCTTATTCCGTGCCACCGGTTTGTTGCCCCCGCCAAGCCGAGCTGACCTGACCTGATCTGACCTGACCTGACCTGGCCTGGCCCGATTCAACAGTTTTCGCCCACTTTCCTGACCTGACCAGACGCGGCGGGCAGTTCCCGGCAGACCGTCGGGGCCAGTTTAGAGTGGCAGACACGGGCTGACCTCTCCTGACCTGATTTGACCTGCGGCAGAACGGCCGGGCCTGATTTAAGTGGGCACATAGGACCGTGCGGGAGCTGACTTGATCTGACCTGACCTGACCTGACCTGATTTGACCTGCGGCAGACCGACCGGGCCTGACGTGTTGACGTGTGCCGAGAGCGTGCAGCGGAGTGGGCGGACGGGACCTGACCTGATCTGACCTGCTCTGACCTGATCTGACCTGCGGCAGATCGGCCGGGCCTGACGTGTGCCGAGAGCGTGCAGCGGTTAAACCAGGAGCTGCTGAAGGCGCTGCGCATTCGGCTGGAGCGATCGCACCCGCTGCCCATCAAGGGGGACGTCACTGCCTTCCAGATGCTGCTCTCCAAGGTCCCCAGCCTCAGGTGAGGTGGCAGGGGAAGGGGTGCGGGGAGCGGGGAGCGGGGCGGGGTGGGCGGGTGAAGCGGCGCGAGGCGAGGCGAGGGGATGCGAGGTGGGACGGGAAATCGGCTGCGGAGGTGGACTGGGAAGCTCACAAAGCGGTGGCCATGCATTGGCGGTGCGATTCTGAGGGCTCGTACAAATGAGTGCGTCAATTGACACCGGCCGTTGTATAACCAAGCGGTACGTCTTGCTTAGTGCAGGAAACTGTCTTTCTGTAAACGGTACTTTCGATTGGAGAGTCTGCGATGGCGCTTCCAAGCTAGGATAACGTGATTTACTTCAAGTCCGTACATTCTAGCATCATAAGCTCCTTGTTCGTCGACACACTGCCGTGGACTTGGGTAATATACACTGCCCTCCCAAAAGCGTCAAGACACTACTATACGTTGCCAATCTTCGCCACTTGGTGCGCTGCTGTTCGGAGATTGAAAAGACCTGGCAGTATCGACGAACACTTCGGATCATGTGACCACGCGCTCGCGCCGTGTTTTAGGGAAGCCTCCGCCACCTACCTTGAAGTGATCGGCAACTTCAAGAGGATGGCGCCGCACCTGGAGTTCCCTGCGCTGCACAAGGAGCTCTTCACCGTCACCAGCTGAACGAAAGGTACACACATCTGGCGGGGTGGTGACGCGACGGCCGGCCGGCGCTCGCGTGACTGACCCCGGCCGACGGCAGCGCTGCGCGCGCAGGTCGGTCCGGCTATGTATTATAATCAACGTGAAATTCGTGTACTTTAGCACTGAACTGGATAATGCATGACTGAATATTACTGGATTTCAGCTATCAGAGAATTATATTGATAACTGTTAATGTTAATTGTCAATCTTAATATGCATCATATTAATAAAGACACGTATAGTGTTTTTATATTAACCATATTGATAATACTCCTGTCAAACCGTGGCTGACTCAGCCTGATAAGATAACTCAAATGCACCGCGAGGGAGGGCCACATGTAAACCCATCAAGGGGAGAACGCGCTCCACTTCCTTCACAAATCTCCACATTATCATGCCCGAGCGAAGCACTTCGCTCCTTCCCCGAGAAAGGAGCGAAAGGAGTAGCTCTGCTTGAATGGGCTGAGCCCAGCCGGAGGTCACGACGTAGTCCAGAGCCGTCCTCGCGAATAATGATGGGTTCCGAGTTCTTATATGGACGATTGCCGATCTTCAATGCGCCAGGAGGTGTGCAGGGGGAATGGGAGGTGCATTTTCATACGTAAGGGGGAGATCTGACCGCCGTACCGCCAAGCATCCGACGGTCCGACGCCTCTGGTCCTAAGCCCGTGATCGCGCTAGCAGTCCGCCTGCCGTGACTGAGCTGCGCACGTCCTGCGCACCAAGCGCGCGGCGTGCGTTGTGCTGTCGCATTGGAAGAACGAGGTTGAATAGCGTGTAAACAGGCCATGGATTCACTGTTTCAGGTCGTCAACCACATGTGAGTATTGGGAACTGCTTATTGTGGGCCTCCATATAGCCTATCTCATTGATTCCTCAGCACTGAGCCGATGGTGATATCTAGCTGGTGTATTTTTTTTTTCTTTAGATGTGTTTGGGTTTACACATCTTTCGAGTTTTCCAGTTGCATCCATGACCAGCAATACAAACCGCCAATTGAAACGGATCTGTCGAGGGCCGATGCGTTGTCCTTTGCACGCAGCAGCTTTGCGTTGTTGTCTGCTAAGTTCGATGCCTATGGATAGGTCTAGGTCAAGCGGCTTGTAATATATTTTATATTTCAGACATCGCTATATGAAACACCACGTCTGTACTTCGCGGCTCATTGCAACGTCCGCTCACAATTCCGACCTTCCAGGTGCAATTCCGTGTTATAGAGACGGATCAACCTCCACCGGCGTGCTGCCCACTGCACCGATCATGCCGCACGGAGCAGCGGCGTCCGCCACCCCAGAGGCATCAACGGACACCCGGGAGCCGTCACATTACACCTAGCAGGCGTCAAATGACACCCAGGTGGCGTCGTTTGACACCCAGAAGTGGCGTCAAATGGCACTCGGGCGTGTCAAATGACACACGGAGGCGTCGAATGACGCGGCCGCCGGTCGGCGCGCGGCGCGTGATTTTACACGGCGTAGGCGTGTTGTTGTCCGAATGCCCGTTATGGCGTGTGGGCATAGCGCAGATGTCCGGCCAGGCGGACTATTTATTAATGTACATAGCAGTAGCATGCTGGTGTTGGGAATGTATGAGGCCTTTGCAAAATGGACCTCCAGAATGACGTCTCTTGTTTTGCCATCGTCGCTAGCTGAACGCCACGAGTGATCAGCTAAGCCTTTTAAATCCTGAATGATCTTAGCTGTGTTGACAGAGAATTGCTTCCGCGCTTCAGCATAATAGTGTAGATATGTTAGATCCGCGGTCATTCTTGTGGCAGCGAGCATAAAAATACCAGTACATCTATCATTGTTATTGTTAAAAGTACAAAGAGTTTCGTCAGGTCTCAAACTCACGCTCTCCGTGTGGATTCTTGACGTGTAAGGGTTTTGTATGGGGCTCGGAGGAAACCATCAAAACTGACCCGACTGTGTAATACCGGACGTGCCTCTTGTATACATTTCGTTCTGCACAGAGCTGGCGGTGCGCGGAGTACGCCACAGGGGCGGCTCCTCGCGGCCGCGTTTCGCCTTTTCCGCTCTCACCAATGCTGGGTCGCCGGGCGTCCGGAGGCCTGACGGTTAGGCATCGTAACAGCGTTTTAAGAATAAACTGGTATTTTGTAAACACGACATGGTTTTGGTGACGCCAGCCGATTTACAGTATGGAAAAAGAGCGTTCGACTGGAGGAGGAATGCGCACGGGATGTATATTTGCTTACACTGGTGTTTTTGCGACCCACAAGCGTGCGGTGCCCTGGCATATCAATGGATCTTTTCGTACATCTGCACGTGTAATGTCCGACGTTCTTCTGGAATGACCTGCCTTTCCTTTACGCGAAAATATCAAAGGCGGTGCGAAGCCGTTCTGCCAAGAAAGTAAATCGAGTGACCCCAAAGTCCCGATTAACAAGGTACTTGGGGGATTTATCTGGGAACTTCACATGATGACAAGAATGCACACGATATCAGCGCAGATTTCCTTTAGTAAAACAACTGGAACTTGCCATAGGTTTCAAATATATTATATTAATAACACTCGCTTCATCTCACTGAGCAAGGAAGGCACATACAGATGGCATAGAATGCATTGGGTGTTTTTACGAGAGCCTGCCACATGAAAGGTCTAAAGAACCCGGGACATTCAAGCTGTTTGGAAAAATATCCATACGATAAATCGTTTTAAATGACCACTTGCCACCAAATTGAATAGACCTTTAATCGACGGCGTTATTCTCATGAAGCAGGAAATGGTCCGGTGCTACAAAGAGATAGCCGCTGCTCGGGAGCGTAAATATCACTGAAAAACATTAAAAAAAGCACGCGTAGCCGTCACGAACACGCAATGCGAGCGCGCAGCGTGCACGCATAAATATGTTTCACGTCACGCGCCACCCGTTATTCCCAAATAAAACGTCAACTACTGACATGACTGGCATTAAACGTAGCTTGAACACACGTCTTGCAGTAAGCAGTGGTTCGGAGTTGTGCGAACAAGAATCGGCATGAAGCAAAGCAAAGGAAAAGGTTGGTTCGCGTCTTCCACAAAAGGCGCGAAACAAGCATGCACATCACACAAACCCGTACCCGTAGGACAAAGAAACGCACAAAGTGCGGACAGTACAAGGCAGCACGTTACGTACAGTTATTGCGCGGGCAGGGATGGCTTTACCAAAGGTCATTTACGCTTCTGTTCCTGCTGCAAATAACATGTTTAAATATCGGTGTTGGCAGCCGCTCGTATACCCAAAATTATGCTGCGCACACCTGGGCGGCACCAAAAGTTCGTGAATTTGCGCAGTATTGCAATCGTATACACGCTTTCCACGCGACCGCACCGTGACGCCAGATTCCGCACCAGCGTTTCCAGACATGTAGTCGCGAGAGCGGACCGGGTCGCCCGTGACCGTGACCTGACGATCGCCAAGCACTCGGTCAGCTACGGTCCTCCGCCAGCCTGCCGTCAGTGGGTGGGCAGGCAGGAGAGCGCGGCTGGTCCCCCGGCGCGGCGCGCAGACGGCCGGCTGCTAGTCGTCATCGCTGACCTCGTACCAGGGTCGGTCATCTCGCCTGACAACAGGCCTGTCCGACACCTGCAAGCCCAGTGGAGCGGATAGTCACAGCCGGTCTTCCATACAAGCCACCGAGAACCCGCCACGCCCTACATCAGCTCGCACTGACGCCATCCTGCAGTGACGCTCATGCTGTGAATACCTTCTTTCGGTGAACAAAACACCCATTTTCAAAAGCGCCATTACGCGGCGAGGCACAGTCGTTTGACCAAAGGTGCAGCCAGTGGAAGGGGGGGGGGGGGGACTACCTCCCCTTTGCACCAGCGTTTCTTGATTTCTTTTCACCAGAGATTACTCCTGGCAGAACCTTCAAGTCAGTGTGATGGGTGCGTGCTTAGCCCCCCCCCCCCCTCAAGAAAATCTTGGCTGCCTCCCTGCGTCTGACTCCAGAAAAACTGTCTTTGAACACTGAACACACAGATCACGTGGCAGGGAACCCAGTGCTGTAACAGCACACCTTCGCTCCCCCGGGGTGCCACACTGACCGTTTGAGCGGCTCCAGATGATGCCGGCTCCTGGTGTGCACCCGAGGCAGCGCGCGCCTTATGGGGCGCCGCCTCCTCTGCTCCTGCCGCCAGGTGGCGCGAGTGCTCGCCGCCGCCGGCCAGATGGCGCGCCGACTCAGTTCCGGAGGCGTCCGAGGGCGGCGCTAGTGCCGACTCGGTGCGGCTGGCCTCGCTGGCAGCCGGACTGCAGCGGCCGACGGCCGGGCCGCGGCCTGCCGCCGCCGCCGAGGCGCTGGAGCCGGGCCGACTGGGGGCGGCCGCCGGCCGCGACATCTCGCCGCAGGTGGGCTCTGACCTCTGCACGGACACTCCTCGCGGAGCACTTGATCTTGGGGTGAACGTTCCGTATGGGGGGTCGTAACTCTGGGTAGACACTGCGCACGGAGTGGTTGACCTGGAGACGGACATCCCGCAGGGCGAATCGTACCTCTGCAGGCCCACGCCGCTCGCGCGAGGCAAGCCACCGGCCAGGAGCGGTCTCTCTGGAGCGGAGTTGGGGTCGAAAGGCCTTGGTATCTGTGCACGGGAGCTATCGGAGGCGCTGTCAGAGTGCGTTGTCACATAGACAGCAGTGAACATGTCGGCTGAGCTGCCAGCCGTTGGTAGCTCGCAGGTAGCGTCCCCGGCCGTCTGGGACGTGTTTTCCTTGGAGACCTCCCGCCCCAGTTCACGCGTGCCGCTCCGCGAGCGGCGCTCATCGTCGTCGCCGGCAGAGGGCATGCCGTTCGGCCGGGGCTCCGGTGCGACCGGCTCCACCGCAGGGTTCCCGTCGCGCCCCTCGGCCTGGTAGGTCTCACGGAACTCGGCGGCCGAGATCTCGGCGCTGGAACGCGGGCTGCAGGTCGCCGTCCGCGGCGGCCGCTCCTTGCGCCGCGGGCTCCAGCGCGCGCGGATCGCGAACTTGTGCAGGAAACCGCGCTTCTTTCCGCCACCGCCGCCGGCCGGCACCGGCGGGTCAGCCGGCGGCGCGCCGCTCAGCTCGAACAGCGGTCGGTCGGGCTTCTCCGGAGGCGCGTCGCTGTCCTCGTTCTCGAGCGGCTCGCGAGAGTGGCGCGTTCCCTGCAGGATGTCCGGCTCGCAGAGCAGAGGCGCCGAGTGGCGTCCGTCAGCCGGCTCGCGGCCAGCTGAGTTGGCGCGCGCCGAGCGCAGGCGACGCTCCACGCCGCCGCGCGCGCTGCGGCGCCGCGGCGAGGCGGCGTCGCGCGCGCGCCGTCCCGCTCAGCTCGCCCAGGAAATCTTCATCGTCGAGTCGGAGCGTGCTGCCGCCCGAGCCGAGGCCGCTTCGCTCGCCGCTCGAGCTGCCGAGGCGCGGCGCCGAGCGGGCGCGCGCCCGCCGCTGCGTCTCGATCTCGCGCTGCACCAGCTCGTCGGCGCTGCCCGCCTCGCTGCAGGACGGCTCGATGACAGTCCTAGCACAGTCGCCGAGCCCGACTCGGAGACAAGCGCCAGCTCGCGCAGTCGCCGGCGCAGCTCTGTGCGCGCCAGCTGAACGCTCTCGTTGCCATCAGTGCTGCGCGCCCGCCGCGTGAAGCTGGACTCATCACCGAGCAGCGCCGTGCTGTAGTCGAGGCTACGGCTGAGCCCGTGGCTGTGGGAGAGGGCCGTGCCGACACCCTCCCCGTCAAGGCTCAGCCGCTCCACGCGGTCCACGCTGTGGCCACGCCTCTCCTTCATTGCCGGGGTGGAGCGAGTGGGCTGGCGCCAGCGAGCTGTGTCGAGCCTGTTGCCATCTGTTGGTGGATCCAGGCGGTTCGACTCCGACAGGCGGCTGGTGCTGCCGTCTCTCCGGTTCCCAGCGGCAGAGGGCGGGGTGGAGCCTGCGGGGCGGGGCGGCGGTGTGGGGGGCGCCCCGTGGCGCAGCTCCATCTCAAACAGGGACTCCTCGGACGACGAGACGGCGCTGGAGTCCAGCAGACGTGCCGGAGCCGCCTGAGCCCGGATGTCGCCGATTTTGCTCCTGTGAAAACCAAACTAATGCTGGAGGACGACCAACGCGTGCATTTGCAATATTGATACCATGCTAGTCACTTTCTTCAGCCACGCGCGGCAAACGCCATTTCATGAAATGCAGCTGACGCGTCTGGAATGATGACCCCATCACGACCGTGTAGCTTGTGGGCAGCATCTGGGAACACACAGCCCATAACACGCGTCCGGGAGGGAAATCCTGCCCGCAAAAAAGCTCACACCTTCATTGCCCGATGTCGTCACCCTTCATCAAGGCAGCTTTATGCAACGTCACGCTCCCCTCCCCCATAAGCTCAGCTCTTGCCACCCGTCGCACCTGACGATCTCCTGAGCGCTGGTGATTGGCGGTCGGCCGTGCCCGCGGCTGGCCCGCAGTCTTCGCCAGCTCCGCTCCGCCTCCTGCAGGCGCCCCCTGGTGTCGGCCAGTGGAGCGGCGCACCACGCCTGCCGACAGTGCTGCCACCTGGCGCGAAGCGCCGCTGCCGGCTCGGCCAGCTCGTCCGCCGGCTCGTCCGCCGGCTCGGTCGGCTCGTCCGCCGGCTCGTCCGTCGGCTCGGCCGTCGGCTCATCCTCGCGCAGCCGTCGGCGCAGCTCGCGCCGCTCGGCCGCCGCCTGCTGTAGCTGGCGCAGCAGCCGCTCGTGCAGCAGCAGCGAGTCCTCGAGCAGCTGCGTCAGGTCGCCGCTGAGCTCGTCCCGTTCGCGCAGCAGCCTCCGCGCCACCGAGAACACCTCCCTGAACGAACGGTTTGGGTGGCGTGATCTCAGCGCTACCGAGAACGTATCCGAACAGGGAATGAGGGAGAATCGTGGGCACACCGACGTCAAAAGCCGAGGAAATTCCTTCTTAGTTAATTCTTTCCATGCAACATGATGGAGGAGATGTGGGATGTGACTGCTGTGATTGCTAGCCTTCTGTTTTTACGCGCCTGGGAATAACGCTGCCAGGTGTCACTCGACCACCTCTCTGAACAGGGCCGAGGGACAATGTGGCCGCGTATGACTCAGAACACAAAGATGACAAGGGATAAGGCTCGTTACTTCCTCTCTAAACGGAATAAAAATGGTTCCTAATTTAACCGTGCGTGGTGAAAGCGTGCAACGCGTCTTGGCTTACAACGGCTTAGACGTCACAAGTTCATCTTGACTAATCACGGGAAAATGCATCACAAATGGTGTGAACTAGTGGCATACTGCAACGCCAGGGTACGGTGGTCCGTGCTCATCTTTGTAAGGAACTATCGTCAGACACGGTAATAGGGATAATGTTTCACCTTCAGTGGAAGGATCTCATGCTCCTATAAATTTACTGGCGACGATTCCAACTTCGAAAGGGAGGTATGTTGAATGCGTGGAGAAATTGGGTTTCTGCGAGAAGAGCGTTTCTTCTGTCACTTGTATGTGGTGCAGCCCGCTCTCAGCTAACGTTGTAGAGCTTCACCTCTCACGGCAACTGCTCATTTCTGACACCTGGGATGTGCCGTGTATTATGAATGCATCAGGACACTGCTCGATAATCTCCTGGTCAGGATTATGAAGCTCTGTATCCAAGGCGTCCGTGGAATTGCAGTAGTAGAGCGTGCCACCGTCCATCATTCACACAGTTAGTGGCCCGGGTTATAAAGGTCAGGATCACAATGGAGCAATAGGCGCGAGGAAATCCCAGTGATGACCTTAGGTCATAAGCAAGCGCCATTTCATGGTTAGTGGAATTATTAACCCCGCCCCATTAATTACGGCGGCTTCACGGCCCGAACAATCGTGAACGTCACGTACCATGTATACATTACATCATGTACACAGCGAGAAGACATTCAGCAAATTTCAGGTTATGTACCACTCGTTCACCACTGTGACGCAAGTAATCATACTCAAAGTGACACTCAACGTGGTTCGCTCAGTCATCAGTATTCGACTTGTTGGTTCTCACCGACGATTACTTTCCCAGTTTTCATCCAACAGTTGAGGAACCCAGTCGACTGCACCGCACATGTGTTCGTCCATGCCCTCTCCAACTCGCTGTGGTCTGCCGATTCCCTTCAGACGTCTCCTCTGCCGCCAATGGTCGTCAGCAGCACGCCCGTCACCCACCCAACAAATGTCCCTTCCTTGTTGAGTCCCTCCGGGTGTCTCCACCCCTCCCCCCCTCGGACGACTTCCTCCTCTTGTCGCTCCGCCTCCCGGTCACTTTTGTCCCCTCCTCTCGGCGGACTCTCTCCTCCTCCTCCTCCTTCCGGCCTCCTGCCTTCCCCTCCTCCTCCTCCTGTCGGTCGACTCTATCCTCCATCCGCCCGCCCACCTCCTACTTCCGCCGCCTGACCCCTGCAGCTCACCGGAAGGTGTCGCTGTAGTCGGCGTTGTCGGCCCGGAGGCGGGCTGCCTCCGCCTCCAGGCTGCTGAAGTCCTGAGCCAGGTCCGCCAGCGACTCGAACGTGAGCAGGTGCTCGGCGCAGGCGTGCCGCCTCCGCTGCACAGCCGCGTCGTACGGCTTCAGTCCCGCCCCGTTCTGCAGGGCAGCCGGGCGAGCCGTGAGCACACGCCAGGGCGAAAGAGAAGGGGACAGGTCACAGCCGATGACTTCCGCGCATTTATTTTGGTTTGACGTCGGTTGTGTCCACGTCCACTCCGACCAGAATGTGCAAGACATATGCAGGAGATTGCACATAAAGAGTCGTGGTACCGCGCACAAAGTAGCGGGCGGCGTATACAAGAGCTGACCCAACTCTGAGGTCAAGGAAACGCCCATGCTAAATGACGTCACTCAAGCTCCCGACAAGCGGCCAGGTTCTGCATGGCGCACCGCTATCTCCTTTCCTCGGACCCAGCAGCAGAACACGCACGGGTTCATGGGTCATCACCCCTTCCTGCAGCCACGCGTGCACAGGCGGCGTCCTACCCTCGCCGTGACGGAGGCGCCCCGCTCGAGCAGGGCGCGGCAGACGGGCGTGTTTCCCGCCCTGGCCGCCAGGTGGAGCGCCGTGTCGCCGCGCCGGTCCGGTCGGTTCAGGCCGAGCCGTTCGTGGCGGAGCCGGTCGGCGCACCAGATCACCAGCGCCACCTGCAGCGAACACGGCCGGTCACGCGGCGGAGGGGTCAGGGGAGAGGCGGGGTGGGCCGCACGCGGGGTACGGAGCGGACACATGCGAAGGCCGTTGTGGAAACGGCGATTGGAACCGGCGCGACGGCCCCTGAGGGCAGCTGAGTCTGCTGAGAGTCTCAAATGGGCTTCTTCATTAGCACTGTGCATTGGAGCTGTCACATTGCGCTCGTATGCACATCAGCGAATGCAGTGAGTCGCACGCCGCTGTTAAATACTTACTTTAAATTGCCGTCCGGCAGCTATGGGGAATGCGGCTTTAAACGACTTAAAGGATAGCGCCGCTTAAAATGCCGACTGGATGTACATAAATATGACGAAAAGCCGCCACAAAACTTTTACCGCAGCTCGCAGAACGTGAACGTGTCATTAAGTGTTAAGGAAACCTATTCCATGGCACGTTACGACCATTTTATGAGGCGACGACCAATTGGAACACAACTTGATTTAAGGGCGTTGTACCACAACGCCTTCCTGACTGAAACCACCACCCCAGCGCACAACTCTCTTCGACGCGCTTAAGTGGGACTGTCGTGTTCGCGTGACCACGCGGGCGTCTGATCCATGCCGCGACGGGGGTACACGGCCACTCCCCTCCCCCCCCCCCCCCGGATGGCCCGACGGGGGCGCGCGCTAGGCGAAACGCACCCCGCGGAGCGCCGCCGGCCGCGCGGGCGCGCCATGGCTGGATAACGCGCGCCGAGTTTGGCGCGGAATCCGTCAGCGCGATCTGGCCGAACGAGAGACTAAGCGGACGGCCGTCTCAA